TCAAAACATGACGTTTTTTAAATATGTACATTTAAAGGCAAGAGTAGGGGATCAATTTCCTTTCATTTGAGAATTTTAGTTTATTTAAAAATATTAATTTTGCATAAATACGGTGAAAATACAACAACATATTTGGAAATATGTCAAATTTGTATTTAACACATATTTTTCAAATACCTGAGACATATTTGCAAATATGTAATAACGTAACTCTTTACGTCAATACAATCAAAGCGAGACCTAGTGAAGTTGTTAGGCCTAGTATAGTAGATTACAGTACCATTTTTAGAATCTTCAACATACCCTAAAAATCGGAAGATATTGGAAAAACGCTTCTTTTGACCAGACAGACTAAAAAAATTATATCTCAAAATTTTTTTTACCGATTTATTATTTTTCAACTGTTTTGAAAAGAGTTTCCTTTGTACTTTTCAAAAAGTACACACACTTTTATATTTTTTACGTAAATTTGTAAAATATTTAGATCTAAATACAAATTTTTATGTTTTTTAAATTTTTTTACAATTCAATATATATATAGGTGTATTTATTCGGATTTGATGTATTAAACAATCTCTTCGGCAAACTAACCTAACCTTCCACGATAGAACTATTGTCATGCAAAATTTCCTGAAGCATAAAATCTAGATCAAAAAGTTGATTCGAAAAATACACTGTCTGTTGCCAAATTTCTTGAAAATTGGTTCATGTTTTTTTTTATATGTATATATGTAGTATCCAATCAATATCATATAGAGTCATTTTTAACTTCTGAGGTTAGACCTATTAATATGACGATTTTTATGTAAATCGGTTTAGTAATAATGTAGTGAAAGAGCAATAAAATAGTCTCATATATATTTATTAGTATATATCATACGTTTTGAAGATGTAATGTGTCGTATTGTTGATACCACAACATCCATTATAACAGATTTCATGAAAATCGGATTGGTATTTTTTTGTAATCTTGAACGTAAGTTTGGTATAATAATTGTTTTACAAAAAGGGGCATGGCGTCCGATCCAGATCTTATATAGTTTATAGTTCCTCCTGAGGTGAGACCTATCGGTATACTAATTTTCATGTAAATCGGTTCAGTATTTTTCTGTAAGTCTCGAATGAAATTTTTGTATGTATAACAATTATACAGAAAAAAGTGAGCATAAGAAGAATCGTGACGTCCAATCATGATTTTATATAGTTGCACTTCAGAATAGAACTATTAGTGTTCTAAATTTCATGTAAATCGGTTCAATAGTTTGGCCGTGAAAGCGTAACAAACACACAGTCTCTTTCACATAATTGTAGGATAGGATATATGTAAGGATAGTTTTATAAAAAGTGTTCGTGGAAGGGGCGTGGCATCGGATCAAGATCTTATATATAGCCTATAGTTGCATATTGTGATTGCAAAATTGGTGTAATAATAGTTTTACAAAAAATGGGTGTAAAAAAGGGAGTGTATAGATATAGCCTATTGTTCCTTTTGGGGTTAGACCTATTAGCGGTCCAAATTTCATGTAAATCGATTGAGTAGTTTTGCCGTGAAAGCGTAACAAACAAACAAACAAACTGTCTGTTTTATATATCTATGTGTGTTTTGTATGTTTGTTTGGACTTTATAGACGGCTAAACGGCTGAACCGATTTTCTTGAAATTTTCACAGTGCCTTCCGGTATGTCTGGAAGGAACTATAGGCTACCTTTTGTTTGGAAATTCAAGTAGGCGAGGTGCCACGCCCACATATATATATATATATATACTATTAAAAGTCGCATATCTCAGAAACTACAACAGCTAGAGTTCCCAAATTTTGTATGAACAACTTTGACATCCATGTGAACACATGTTGACAAAATGGGCACAGTGGGCGTGGCACCTCCTACGTAAACAAATCTTAAATTAGTATATCTGAAAAAGTATAACAACTAGGGTCCTCAATTTTTTTCGGGGCCACTTTAGTATCGACATGAATATTTAGGACAAAAATTTGGCGGACTAGCAATAGGGGGCGTGGCACCTCCCATAGGAATTACATACTAAAATTAGTTTATCTTGAAAACTATTGGAGTTAGAATCATAAAATTTTGCACGATGACTTTTAACATCCATGTGACTATTTGGGAGTGAAATGGGCGGATTTTCACAAGGGGGCTTGGTACCTCCCATATGAATTAAATACAAAAATTCGATTATCTCAGAAACTATTAGAGCCAAAATTCTAAAATTTTACACGAACAACTTTGACATCTATGTTAACATTTGTGTGATAAATTAGCGGACTTGATTTTAGGAGCGGGTACCTCCCATATGAATTAAATACAAAAATTAGTTTTTCTAGGAAACTATTGGAGCTAGAATCTTCAAATTTTGAATGAAGAACTTTATCTTCCATGTGAACATTTGGGAGAAAAATGGGCGGGAGGAAGGAGGATTGACACCTCCCATATGAATTAAGTACAAACATTCTTATATCTGGGAAACTGTTAGAGCTAGAATCATCAAATTTTGCACGAAGAACTCTGACACCCATGTAAATATTTTGGTAATAAATTGGTAATAAGGGGCTCCCACACAAAAATTCGTATATCTGGGAAAATTTTATAACTAGAATATTCAAAAACCGTAAAGTCTCTTTTGAATTTATATTGATTTTTGGGCATAGGATAGGATTTGCTACAACTGCTTTTATTGACTTGTAATTTTTTTCAATTAAAGAAAAGTTGAGTTGTAAACCATAATAGAGGCATAATTTTTTGGATATATTTTTTATATTATATGAACTATAATACTCTTCAAATACTTTGTATTAAATGTACCGTTTTCTTTCCTAATCTATTGTCTATAGATCCCCATGAGATATCCTAAAAATTTTAAAATATGTTTAACAAAGTTTCAAAAAACTGAAATTGGAGATTTGGTCAAACAACGACACTAGTTTATATCGAAAATTTCCAGTTTTGTATTAAAAAATTTAAAAGTTAGTTTAGAGTAAATATCAAAAACTTCAAAGCATTTGCCGCGGAAACTTTTTAACGCTCGGGAAAGAGTAATATACTTTTTCGACATAAATTTTTATGCTCTATGTGGAATGGATATTTGAAATTTCCAAAAATTGTATAAAAGTTATAACCCTAATGTACACTCTTCGCCACTAGAATGGCACATATATCAATTTTGTTTTCAAAGCTTATATTTTTGGATCAGGAATTTCTAGAAACTTGTTTCTTCCCCTCATTATAATACATTTTTTGTTCTGAATAAAATGTGATATGAATAGTTCTCATATCTGTAATATTTGATTCTATATAATTTTTTTGTAAATTAACCGAAAAAAGCTCTTGGTAAAAATTCGCCACTTGAATAGAACATCTCCCAGAAATAGTGATTTTATAGCAATTTTTGTAATTAAAACTTATTTATTCAGATTATTTACAACATTAAAAATTAAACTAAGCTTTTTTTGTGTTGTTTAATGTGTTGAACCTCCTTGGTTGACTAACACTTCACAAATCCTGTTTGGAAGCGATTCATATAGCTTGGCCATGTAATTATGATGTATTGAGCTCCAGACTTCTTTAATTGCTTAGATTAGTTCAGGAATTGTTGAATACTGTTTTCCAGACTCATTAACTTTTCAGGCAAGCCATCCCCACAAGTGTTCTATAATGTTTAAGTCTTGCGAATTTGGAGGCCAGTGCAACAATTCAACATTTTGGGCCTCTGTATAAGATTTTAGGATCCGGGCAGTGTGAATCGGGGCGTTATCTTGTTGTAGGATCCAAGGGCTAGGTTCATATAGGTCATTGAAAACCGAAAAAAAGCCTTTTTAACCCAATGTAGTTCTTAGCATTTATTCTTGGGCTTAAAAACTGAAGCTCGGAGGTCCATAATAGGAAATTGCTCCCCATATTATGACACCGCCAACACTGCTATGTAGGTACTATTTTCATGACCTTCGGAAGGATCCATATTATATGGATCGTCTACTTAGCTACTGGCGAATTTTTACCATTAGCTTTTTTCGGTAAATTTACAAAAAAAAAAATATATATAAAATCAAATATTACAGATATGACAACCAATTATATCACATTTTATTCAGAACAAAAAATATTATAATGAGGGGAAAAAACAAGTTCCTAGAAATTTCTGATCCAAAAATATAAGCTTTGAAAAAATTGATATATGTGTTATTCAAGTGGCGAGGAGTATATATATTTTAAGTAACAAAATGCTTTTTAGAATATATCCCAAAAAAAGTATTTTTTGTCACATTTCGAATTCATGTTCTGAGAGACACGTTAATGGCCCGGAGAACTTGCAATAACTTTTAAATTTTCCAACAAACTTTTGGGTTTTATATCTTTCTGAAATGATTATTCTGTGCACATTACGGTTCCTTTACAATAACGTTTTCCTCTTGTAAATGTACCTGGAAACTTCAGAGACGTTGCGGCATCAGCCTAATTTTTTCATGACATAGTTTTACAATCCAAAGAACAATTCTAGAGGGGGGACGAAATTCGCAATTTCGATTTTTTCAGCTCTCTAATGAACATATATGGTCCCATATATGATAATTTTTAGCTGGGTTATTAAAATTGCACGGGGAAAAACGTTGACCTCAATGCTTTTATATTTTTGAAAAGGGCTAAGTCCACAAAATACATTTTTAACAATCAACTGAGAAAAAATAATCAATAATATAAAATTTAGGACTTTCTTACATATTTTTTCCTTCTTATAAGATTTTTTGCATATTTGTTGAAAAAAAATTTTGTTACATGAAAACCATTGTTAGAGTGTTGTATTTTATATAAAAATAACTAAAACTCTTAAATTTTATTTTTTCTCCTAAATTAGGAAATTTAACACTTTTTAGAATTTTCTTCCTTAACGAATGCAAAGAACTCAATATTTTAATGAAGAAAGTTTAATTGCATTTAAAATTTTGTTATTAGAGAAACTTATAAATTTAGTGCAGTACAACTTACCTTAACTTTTATAGTGAAATTTTTGAATTCCTCATTTGTAGCTAAATTAAACGAATCCTCAGACAAATGCGTTTTACATTCCTTACATTCGATATTAAATTGGTTCCCATTTTCCGAAATATCGCTAAATGGCCATTTGTCTTCAATTGGCGTGCTAAAATAATAAATAAAAATCTTAATTTTATAACTGTTAGAGTTTTGAATTTACTTTGTATAAAAAATTCTTTGTTTAAAAGCTAAATTTGAAACATGTTATACATAGATTTAAAAATATTATCTTTTGTAATATTTTTTTATTGATTCTAAAATAAAGAAATTTATTAAACGGAGTTTTTTGTTAATTAATTTTGATAATTTTATAATGCCTATAATTTACGTTCATCACGATTTATCCGATCTGTGCTTGATGAATTAAATTCCAACATGATGGAGCCACCATCAGTAAGCAGTCAATCAGCCGATGTTATTGCCAGTTTAAATAACCTAGCAAAAGTGGTAGTGGAAAGACGTAACGACATTGCATGTACTCATAGTATCATTGCTTGTAATACTAGTCCTTGTACCTCTAGCTATCAGATGACTCAACAGGATGTAGGAAATTTAATTTATTTTCCTGCAGAATCAACTGCTCCTTGCAATGTACCTGAAGAGTGACGTGTGTTTAGTCAAAAATTTTCCCCAACATTTGAGCCGACGTGTATGATTTGCTATTATTCTCCGGTAACCCAGATGAGTGGCCGTTATTTATTGCCACTTATCTGGCAATAAATAATTCAAATTCTGAATTTGATGGGTCCTGAGAGAAGCAGTTGCATCAATGTTTGTTCATCCCGATAATGTACCTAATGTCATTGAAGAACTCGAATTTCGATTTGGACGTCCGGAATTTTGGTACGGTCCCAACTTCATAAAATACAACAGTTTCCAAATAACAGCAAATAATAATTTTCTGTCCGAAAGTAAGAAATGTTGTGGCATTTGTAAAATCCGCTGTATGTAGTCATCATCTTATGACTACAACACTATTGGAAGAAATGGTCTAAACTTCTGGATGATCAAAAATTTGACTGGGTAAAAAGCGCCACCATTATAAAACCATTTCCAACAGTTATGTACTTTTCGAAATGGCTTGGAGATTTAATGAAAGTAGACAGTTTAATGCCAAATTATGTATCCTCGTCACAAAGCCAACCTGTCAAACAAATGGTACTTCTTGATAGTAACAAAAAGTCGAACGTCAAATGTACTATTATTGTGTTTCAGTTGTCTCCGAAAGGTACATGCTGTCAATAATTGTATTTTTAAAAAACTTAGCAATATCAATAATTGTAAAAAGTATCAATATAAGAGTCTTCACGAAGATACAGAAACAGCCCATATTAGTACTGGAACTGTAGCTGTCGAACAAGCCGAACAAACTTCAAATCAGATATTAAATTGCAGAAAATAACTACAGGCAAGTAAAATGTTTAAAATATTGCCTGTAACATTGACTGGTACTCTTGGTTCTTTAAAGACATATGCAATATTTGATGAAGGATCCTCCATATCTCTTATTGATGAAAATACCTCCAAGCTTCTGGGCTTAAAGGGGAAGTCATTGAATCGTACTCTCCAGTAGTATGGAGAAGAAAACTGTATGGAAGATTCTTACATTGTAAACTTGGAAACAGAAGGAACATGTATCCCAAAAATGAGATTACCCCTCAAAAAAAGTCCACACAATAAAGAAGCTTGATTCAAGTTCACCTTTAGAAGACCACATTGATGCCAAACCAGTAATTCATCTTGGATTAGAAAATGCATTTCTTGGTACTCCTATTTCCGTCAAAGAATCCAATGATTTTGACTTAATTGCTATGCAATGTAAACTGGCTGGCTATCATATGGTTTAGTAAAGCATTATGCTGCTCACCCTATTGTATTACTAATCATAGACGACGAACTCAACAATATTGTTAGTGATTTTCTGTACCACGTTTCTGCAACTTTTAGTGAGAAGATATCACGTCGATTTGTGAGTAAAAGGTGTTTCTATAACTTAAAGTGAGAAGATGCAATACGACTTACGTTTTTATTGGAAATTTCCAATAAAACAGCTGTCAAAAACATAAAAATAAAAAGAAGAAAACAAAAATTGCCAAACAACAAAACAAACAAAAATTATAGAAATTAAATGAAAAGTATTCAAAAAATTATCCCAATAAATTCTCCCCTGGCAAATTCTAAATTAATATGCCCACGTACTTTTTCAGCTTTTGCTTCTACTACTAGGTAAATTCTCTAAAAGATGTTGAGTTTTCCCTAATTAATTTGTCACTTAAAAAACATTAGGTAGGCATGTTATATATCAATGGAAAGGTAATTTTGTCTATTTTTCAAAACTGTATATAATTTTTGAAAATTAAAAAATTCGCGGAAGACTTTTTTTTAAAAATATTAAAAAATGTTTTTTATTAAGTTTTTGCGAAGATAAAAATTTTTCAAATTGCAATAAAAATTTTATTTATGAATATTTTTTGATGAAATTTTACAGTTAGGTAGATTTTTTTACTCAAAATCCAAAATTAAATAAAAATTTCGAATTTTCTTATTAGAAATCCCGGAATTCCCAAAAAAGTTTTAAAAGATCCCAAAAATGGGATTTTTTGGTTTTTTGCCTATTATATCCATATTGGGTCATATAAAACAGGTCACTATAATTTGATATCGACTATGCGATTTGAGAATTTTTGCTCAAAATTGAATTTTCCATAAAAAATAGGGCTTTTTTGGATGGACCTGGTCCCCTCGGTATCAAAAATTTTTAGGTTTTGTTTCATTTATCGTATTTTATGTAAAGTCAGCTTTCCAAAAAGTATAAATTCTATATACATCTTCTTAGAAACTTTTTAGATAACTTAAAAAGAAAAAGATACTTTTTTCCCAAAAAAAATGGCAAAAAATCGCCTTTTTTTAACTTTTTAAATTAAAATGCCTATAACTTTGGACTCAGTCATGATTTTTACATAATTCTTTCACTGCTTGATATATAAACTTGTTGTTCAGCGAATAAAAAATTGCGAAAATCGGGAATATTTGGACCCGTTATTATCAAAAAACTAAAGTAAGGACGGTAAAAATTTTAAAATTTTAATTTTCCAATGCGAATATCTCCTAAACTATAAGAGATAATTTACTGCTTTTTTATAGTGCTCGATGAGGAGATTCTATATACAATTTTTTTTTAAATCGGAACTCAAATGAAGAAATAGGATCGTTTTAAAAATTTAACATAGCCGAGGTGTCCTAATTTGAGGACCCCCCGCCGGGCCCCTGGTTGGCCTATAAGGTCCAAATTCAAAACCTACAACAACTCGACAACACCTCCTCTTTGTGCATACCAAATTTCATTAAAATCGGATTAACCGTTTAGAAGTTACCGAATTATTTCCCTCTTTTTTTTCCTATACCACTGTGAGAAAGTGATTCTGAGTCGATCGGTATACTTTATTTTAATGCGTTACAAACATCAGCACAAACGCATAATACCCTTCCCACTTTAGTGGTGTAGGGTATCAATATTTTCTTCAAAATTCTATTTGTGCAATAATATTGTAGAATTCATGAGATTAGTTTTGAAATTATTTTGACATTTTGATTTTAATTAACACCAAAAATAAATCGTTGATATGCAGTTTCCTTCCAAGAATGAAAAAATAATTTATAAATAGAATTTCAATATATTTCATTAAAATATGTATATGTAAATATTTCGAGTATAAATTCACTTTCAACAAAATAGAAATTACAAAAAAATATAATTATAAGATTTATGTTAAGAACATCATTATGAATCATTGAAATCATAATATGTTCACTAATATGCTGTTACAAAATTTAAGAAGAGAATATTTTGAGTGTAAAATCAATTTTAATTAAAAAGAAATTACAAAAAATATATAATTACAACACTTTTAAATCATAATTTGCTAGAAAAACGCCATTTGAAAATTTTATTTTTTTATTTTTTTGTCGATGATTGCTGGTGAGAGGGGTAGAGAGGAATTTAAAATTTGCATTAAAGAAATACTATTTATTATTTTTAATCAAACTAAATTGTTTTTATGTTGAAAATTAAATTTCATTTTTATTACGAATAAGTAATTAAAAAGGATTGTACAAAAAAAGTCACGAATAGTTGCTTGTACAAAATTACCGTATAAATGTTCATGATTTTTTGGAAGATTCTCAAAAGAGAAGAAATTTCACCTAAGTCAGCTGTTTTGTAGTTTTTGCAAATAATTTCAACAAGCATCAACTTTGAAATTGATGCACTGATAGCCATTACACTGCGTTTCTAATACTTGTCGATGACGCTTTGAAACAGTATGCATTGTCAATATTTTGTACTGCGGCGTTATAAAACACTATACCTTGTTCGTATACAAAGCAACTGACGTTTTGGATCTCCTATGGTAAATTTAGTGTCTGCATTTAAAAAACATAAACTTTTTTTGGTTAAATATTTACTGTATTTCAGACCCCTCTAGTGACCGCAATTCGTATTACAAAAATATAATTTGTATATTTTTAAGAAGGAAATTTTGTAAGCTTTCAGAAAAGTCTAAAATTTTTAATTTTACTGTCGATCATATTTTTGTCTCTGGAAGGAATCGACGATTTTGTGTATAGCGTTAAATCTGAAAACGAAACTATTGCAATTTGTCAGCAAGTCGTAAAAGTTCATTCCGACGGCGGATTTGAGTTAAGAGGATTTATTTCAAATAGTAAGAAGCTGGAAGACACTGCACTTTAACTCAAAATACAGAACTGGTTAACATTGAAAAAAAAATACACTGCTCAAAAAATTCTGGGAATGTATTGGGACAAAACAGAAGAAGTCTTTCAATATAAAATATATTCTGTGCAAATATTCTTTTACACGTTTTTGTAGATGCAAATCAAGTTCGTATTCAACATGAAATGAAAGCAATGTTGCCTTTGTAATGAAAAAAATTAGATGTGCACCGCTGAAATTAATTATTCAGCAAAACCAAGTTTGCATTTTGTAAACACATGTTTGGTCAGATTCGCAAACAATAATTCAATGGATTTATTAAAGTGAAAGTCGATTCAAAGGTTTTGTTCTTTTTTATGAAATTCTCAGAGGTT